CTAATGTAATTTTACATTTTTTTTCTGGCTGGTGGGGAAGGTAGATTGTATGGACGGATTTGGCTCTTCGCAATTGCATGCAGAAGACCCGAGTTTGATTTCCGAGTGGGGATAAAAATTTTATCGAGTATCTTAGTCTTTCTGCTGGAATGTTGTATTCCTCCCGACCAGAAGGGGCGTAAAAACACGTTCATTCAAAAGAAATAGACCAATGGTCAAACAGAAATGAAGCTTTGTCGGTCAAGAACAAGCTTTTTAAAAATAAATTTCCTCATGACTTTCATTTTGAGACTTTGCCTGTTTTTCCTTATGACCTCCTCATGTCATCGGTGTTTGACTTTACCCATGTAACCGCTAAATCAGGTCAAACTTTCTTATGTTGTTGTTTGCTGTTGGTGGTGGGGTTTTTGTGGGATTTATAAATAATTATTTTTGAGAGGGGGGGGTATAAATGTGTTCCTATTATACTCCAAAATTACTTAAAATTTTGTTTAGAATATTCTATTTCCTTATTATAGTATAGCCAATGTAAGTGTTTGGACTAATTTAAGAATAATAATACAGACAATTTGTTAGGCATTGTGGTGAAATAAAACGTTCGTCAAAATAATCAAAATGAAGAAAACAGCATTTTTCTGCTGGTCTGGCAATTTTTTCAAACTCTTTGTTTTCTGGCTAAACTTTTTTTTGGTATCCTTTTAAAAACACATTTCTGGGTGGATTTGATAGAAAAACGTTAATTAAAGGCACAAAAATGTAAATTTTCTGTTTCCAAAGGACTCTCAATCAATGGAAGGTACCAAACTTTTTACCTCGTAAACCAGGCAACTCCCACCTCCTTCAATAGCAAATATCTTGACTTCTTTTCAAGATACATGGATATTTTTTTCACCCAAAGCAAGACAAATGAAAAAAGCACACAGGCGATACCACTAACTCCAAATGCCCAAAATTTGACGAGCACCTGATTCCACCAGGTCGTGACACATTTCCGCTGCACATTTACCTTTTCTGAAGTATAAAATTTGCTCAAAATAATGGACAAGTGTAATCATCAAACATAACATTATGTATACATGTATATGTATTTACAACTTCTATTAGAAAAATAGTCAAGCAGTGGCGGATACAAAAGTTGGAGTTGGACAGAGATTATAATATATTCTGGAAATGTGTCCTCCCCTCTTATTTGTGATGTAAGTGCCGTAAAATTCACACTAAAACTAAATCAGTAGGGCGTCTTATCTTCGGTACCTATATGACCTAATTGTGTTGCAAGTGTTGTAAAACTCTTACTAAAACTTAACAAGAAACACGTCTAATCGTCGGCACTTCATAACGTATTTGCATTGCGAGTGTCGTAAAATGCTTACTAAAACAAAACTAGAAACCTGTCTAATCTTCAGCACTTATATATATATGAAATTAATATTCCTTTTGTACTTGTCGTAAAACTCTAACTAACACTTAACTAGTAACAAGTCTAATCTTCGGCAGTACCTTGCCGGCCCTCTCCCACGTCCTGGACGGCTTGGGATGACCTCTGACGTCACAGTTCAAGAGGGTGGCTTTTCCCGAGGACACCAGGATTGTCTGGCTGCGTTGTTTGATCTTGGGTGCTGTTGGCATAACCGGGTGGGGGGGAAGGAGATGGCGGAGGAGGAGGAGGGGGAGGAGATGG